TGCAACAGGCACGGGTTCTTCCCAACGACAATGAGGTCTGCAGCCAGGGACCGTCCCAGGGAAATTCCGACAGGCCGCCAACAAGCAAAGACTGTGGATGCCAAAAAAGACCCTGCAAACAGTCACAGGTTCTGCAGGTATGGGGAGCTTTGCAGCCTGTGGTTGGGGACAAACCCTCAAGACAGGGGGGCAGACTATGCGAGGGAGAGAGTCTGCAGATATGGACAGGGAGGTGGAGCGTTAAGGTCTGCAAACAGGCAAAGCTTCAGTCAGAGAAATGCTTCCCAGACAGAAGCAGGTGCTTGAGTCAAAGGCCCTTTAGGCGGCATGGCCAGGATCTGCAGGGGTGGGAGGTGAGGGTGAGCGTTGGGGATGCAGACTGGAAGCCAGCCTCCAGGGAGATGGGAGGGGCCTGGGCGAGCATTCATGAACTTGACAATGAGATCCCGGCTCTGAAAAAAGACACAGACACAGGCCTCTGGAGACAGGCCATGGAGATAGGGAGAGGCTGGCGAAGCCCACACAGGCTCTGTGTCAGCGAAAGTTCCTTCAGAGACGGGGGTTTGCTGAAGAGACGGGGGTTTGCTGAAAGCAGCCGACAGGGAAATGAGCTCTGTGGTCAAGCACAGATACCACAGACACGGGCTAGTTCTGTAGAGGGCCCGGGTTCTGCAAACAGGGACAGGCTTTCTAGAAAGGGATGGGTTCTGGACACAGGCTCTGCTAACGGGGACACGTGGGATTAGGAGTGAAGTGTGCAGGCGGGCACAGGCTCTGCAGAAAGTCAGGGTGCTCCCAGATGGACACAGTGACCCCGGCCGTGATAAGCTCTTCGTAGGAAATGGGTCCTGCAAGCAGACGCCGTTTCTACCCAGGGAAACGCAGGCAGCGGCCTTGGAAAACGTCATAGACGGGACCCAAAGGGCTCAGGTTCTGGAGACAGAACCAGGCTCTGAAACAGAAACAGACCGCGAGGACGGACATTGTCTAGAGACAGACACTCACTGCAGAGGAAACAGGTTCTTCCGACCGGGACCAGCACTGCACACAGGCAAAGCTTTGCCAACAGGAAGTGTCTCTAGGCAAAAAGGCCCAGGCCAGGACCCCAGACAAGCTCTGTGGACGGGACAGGCTGTACACGCAGAGCAGCTTCTGCAATCAAAGCCAGTCTCGTGCTCAGGGAGAGAGGGACACACTAAGAAGACCCAGGTTCTGAAAACAAGGCTCTGAAAATAGACTCGGGACAGAAACAGGCTCCGCGGACAAGACAAATGCTCTGCAAACTCAGGACAGACTGCACACGGGGCTCTGAAGACGCGGACAGACAGCGGGCGAGCGCAGGCTCAGCGGACGGGAGCCGGCTGGGCACATCAGGCACAGACACTCTTAACCCGTAAAACAGAATGGACTTGTAAGAAGCACAGAACCTGCCAACAGCCACTTGAGTTCGTGCTCTGCGGTTCCGAACGTGCCCAGGAGAGAGAAGCGCGGAACGAGAGGTACCTGGGGAAGAGCGGGGATCTCAATCCTGTTACGTCTCGGCAGGTGACTCTCAACTACCCCAGGCTCCTCGGCACCGCTCTTCCGGAACCCTCTGTGTGAGGTTTGCTCATTCCTCCATCCGTGGAAGTCCTTTCTACATGGAACCTGAGTCCTGCAGCTGCAACTTCTTCTTCTCTCTGCTGCTTTGCTCACCAGACCAGAAGTCGCTTCTTTCTGACTTTCTCATTCCCAGTGGCCCTGGCTGAACTCATCTCCCCGCCCCCCTCCACCAGGTCTTTCTTATCAGAGGGAGGGACACCCTTGGCCCTGTGACCCTGCGTGACCAGGGGAAGCCGCGGGAGCAGAGATACAGAGTTACAAAAGCAGAGGCATGGCGTGGCAGGTGCAACGAAGCCAGCCCCGAGGGCAGGGCGCAGGCCCCGGAGGGGAGGGCTCGCAGCCTCTCAAAAAGGGCCAAGGTGGCCCTGGAAGGGGAGGGGGGCAGGGGGGGAGGGGAGGAAGGAGGAGGGAGGAGGGGGAGGGGAGGAAGCAGGTTTTCTCGAAGCCTGGGACCCCTTGGAACACACTCTGGAGACCGCGTAGCTGTTGGTATGGATTCCTGAGGCCAGGGGCTTGTCTTGTTTACCGCCTGCTCTCAGCTGCCTCTCACCCAGCAGCTAGTTGTGGAATGAATGAAACCTGTGGCCTGTGGCTGCCCTGAGGGAAAGTGGGTGGGGAAGGCAGGTCACCGTGAGCTCTCACTGTACCCAGAACTGCTGTTGTAGCCGATGGCCTGCCCACGAGTGACCGGCAGACACGGTGACCGTGGAAAGAAGGTCTCAAGCAACAGAAAACGTGTGATGACACCACGTGACAGGCACAGTGACACCCAGAGGTGATGGGGCAGAAGCAGCGGCCAGTGATAGTGACCAGGGCACAAGCAGGCAGTGAGCAGAGGCACCAACTCTGAGCCGTGGGCCATGCGGGAGGGAAACAGTGACAGAGAGACAGGAAGACAGGCTGGCCTCGGCACCGTGGGCACCACGGGCATCACGGGCACCACGTGGGATGGGGAAGTCAAAGTGGTGGCCAGGCAGTTGGGACTGGGCTGATTGCACTGGGGGGGGGGGGGCGGGGCAGCATCATGCCTGAGGGGCTGGGAGGGTGCCCCAAGATCCAGTTCCAGCCTGGGGGGCCAAACTCTCAAATAGTCCCACCTGTGTTCAGTGGCTTCCAACTGGGTTCTGGGGGGTGGAGGAAGGGATGCTCAAAGGATGGGAGTCCCTTCTACCCTAGCATCCCCTCTTTCCCTCAGGTGGTCCCTTTCCCCCTCAGGGGTCCCTTCCCTCTCCACAGAGCCCGCCCACTCACATGTACCCCTCTCTCCCCTAAGGCTCTCCCTTCCAACACCTCCCCTGAGTGGGGGACCCTGCCTATGTCCTCTCCCTAGACGGGAAGCCCCCTTCTTTTCCCTGGGGGCTGGCTCCCTCCACCCAGGGCCCCTTTTCTCTCCCGGATGCCCAATTCCTCCTCGGATACCCCCTACCCCCCTCTGTCACCCCCCAGTGCCCCTCCTTTCCCCAGGTGCCTCCTTCCATATCCCCTCCACCCACAATGCACCTTCTCCCCCCTACTCCTGCCTCCCCTGGCTCCCCACTCTCCCCTAGGTTCCCCTCCCACCCAGGTGCCTCCTTCTCCAAACACTTCCTTCCTTCCCCCAGCGCCCCCCTTTCCCTGGCACCCCCTCTCCCTACCCAGGCACCCACTGCCTCCTCTGGTGCCCCTTTCTCTCCTGGGATACCTGTGAAAGGAAGGGGGAGGGGTGGGGGTGCTGCCTGCTGGAGGAAAGGAGGGCTGGGCCTGGGTCCCCAGAGATTCAGATTCTGTGGGTGTCAGAGACGCCCACCCATATACAACTGCTACTTCCTTCCCTGCCAGTCGCCCCGGCCATGGCCTCCCTGCCCCGACCAGTGTTCTTACGTGTTGGGCTCCTCGCTGCCTCCCAGTTCTGCCAGCCCCTTGGCAACCCTGAGCCTGTGCCCCCACAGTGCACACCCCTGACTCAACCATCCACGCCAGTTCTCCCAAGCCCCCGGCCCAGCTGTGCCCCGTGCCCCCTCCCGGCCAGGCCTACCTGCTGGGAACTCCGGGCAGCTTCGCCCTGCCTGCGGGCAGTGCTGGGCTGGCACAGGGCCGGGCTCTGCCCACCGCTCCCCCTCCGCTGAAACTCAAGCCCTGCTTCCGCCCTGCAGGACACACCCCATCTCTTGGGGGGCTGGGCATTCACACTTGGTCAATCGGTGAGTCGGTCAACAAATATTGACCCAGCTCTCTGAGAGCCCACCCTTCCTGGAGCTGGGGGCCAGAGAGCAGGGAATGGAGGCCTGCGCTGGGCCAAGCTGTGCATGTGCAATACACTGCGACCTCCCTCCTGAGAGCCCAGGTGGGCTCTGATCCCTGACCCGGAGGCCAGGCCACCCCAGCAAATGGTAGGAGGCAGCAGGACCAAGGCTGGAGGGATGGGTGGGTGGGGGGGGGGGGCAGTCAGGCTCCGTGAGACCCAGGTCCCTGCAGGAGGTCAGGGGAGGTGACAGGGTTCTCTGTAACATCTCTGCTGTCCTCCCCACCCCCAACGTGGGCTCCACGCCCGGCACAGCCCTCCCAGGAAGCCCTGATAGCCATCGTGGGAGAGGCTGGTTTGCCCTGAGTGAGATGACCTAGCTCCCACATCCTGGGCTGCCCCTGCTTTCCTTCCCGATTGGGCGGGGAGGGGG